CTTCGGTTTCTACGCTGAGAGTACCACTCACTTCTCAACTTTGCCTAGTCCCAACAGTCAATTTTACTTGAATGAATTATATAATGTTTCTCTTCAATCAAGTATGTCAGAATATCTTGGTATCTTCAGATGCCAAGACGTTGAGGACAGCCCTGGCTGGTTTGGCTCAGCGGTTGGAGCATCGGCCTGCGGACCAGAGAGTCCCGGGTTCAGTTCCCGCTAGGGGCACGTACTAAAAAAAAAAAGTTGAGGACAGCATTACTCAGGGACGAGTGGGTTGTCTATGGAGCCAGGCATGCAGACTTGATTTGCCCTTAGCTGGTGATGTCTGTAGACTCAAACCCCATATAAAAGATAAGTCAGGCTCTACCTCCATAGTCAAGGAACTGAGCTTTCCATGCCCACATGTTGTCATAAGGCAGAAACAAGCTACTGAGTGCCCAGAGCAGGCCCTTCATGCATGAGAAGTAGGGCAGAATCTGGGTGGCATAGTACCAGCATTAGGAGTAGATCATCGGGGTGGAATGTTATCTCGTCCTCGCAGAGTACAGGGAATACCCCTCTTTATGAAACAGAAATCATCCACCTTTTAGTGGATGCTAGTACATGCAAACAGATACAAAGCCGGGAGGACCGCAAAGCGGGGAGAGCTGAGGCTGGTATGTGAGACATTGGGAAGCGAGAACGTTAGATGGGGTCAGCTTGACCCTATCGAGGAAAAGGCTGGAGATACAGGGGAAACTGGCTGAAGAAAATTCAAATCTTGGAAAGAAGAGAGATAAGAAATGTGGGCTAGAGTAAGGTAAGACCCTGAAGGATGTGTAGAGAGACTGAGAGATGATCAGAAGGCTGTTGATCAAGGGAAGGACACCTGGGGGTGATGTTTGCCGAGTTAAGTGTGTCCCGAAGACTTGAATATTCGTAAAGTATCTCCCCACAAATTACTTATTACAAAGGGAAATAGTAATTTTACCTAAGAGAAATCTGGTGAGTCCACTTTCATCAATAATCAAAGTGAGGACCACCTAAACAGGGACAAACCAACACCATGCACCCCTTATATGATGCACTGAGGACACCTTGCTTCTCTGGCATTTCTGCTGCAACTGTGGAGACAGACACCAAGCACGAGGAAGTATGCGCTTACCACAAATTAATAATCATTTTATACAATAGATGTCCTATACTCTTTAGAAATGTCAAACTATGGTGGGGGGGAGGCTAGGGAATTTTTCCAGATGAAAGAAAGCAAAAGGAATAGGACAGCTAACTGATGTGTGACTCCAGATTGGATTCTGACCAACAAAGGACATTATGGGAGAACTGATGACAGTTATGGATTAGATATTAGAAAATAGTACTGTATTAATATTAAATTCCTGATTTTGACAACTGGACTATGGTTAAGAGAGTCCTTTTTCTCAGAATGTATACACTGAAGTATTTAGTGGTAAAGGGACTCAATATATCCAGCCAGCATATTCAAATGGTTTAGAGGGGGAAAAATTTTCTATCTAGGTAATTTTCCTTAAACCATTTGAATAAGCTTGCTGGATATACTGAATCTCTTTATGATAGACAGACAGAGATAGATATAGATAGAGATAGATAGATGATAGACAGACAGACAGACAGACAGATAGATAGATAAATAGGATATGGTAAAGTAAATGGAGCAAGATGTAAATAGTGGGTAATATGGTGATCTGAGAATAGGTAGATAGATAGTTGCTTAGTCAAATTTCCGGACTTTTCTATACATTTGAAATTACTTTGTAATAGAAAGTTACCCCCTCCACAAATGTTCTAAGTAGTCAAGAAAGTTCTGAGCATTCAAATTCAAATTTCCACGTGTGTAGGGTTTTCCCATACCAGCAAGCCATTCTCAGGTACCTGCTGGATGTTGTACAATTCAACCTAATTCTGATACTATCCTGAGACAGCTTCAGATCCCACAGGTTCCGGTCTCCGTCCCACAAGACCACACCATCCTCCCCCCAGTTCAGATGCAAATTGCAAGGATACCTGTGCTTCTGACTGACTGGCTATAAAAGAGAGGTTCCCCCGACCCCTTCTTGGATTTGATTAATTTGCTACAGTAGCTCACAAGACTCAGGAAACCAGCTCACTCACTAGATTACCAGTTTATTGCAAAGGATATTGAAGGATACACATCACCAGCCAGATAAAGAGATACACAGTGCGCGGTCCCTAACCTTGTGGAGTTTGGGGCCCAGTGGCATGTAGAAACATCTGGCTCACCCACCCAGAAGCTCTCTGAACCCCCTCCTTCTGGGTTTTTATGAAGGTTTCAGTACATAGGTATAATTGACTAAATTATTGGCCATTGATTCAACCTCCAGCCCCTTAGGTGATTTCCAAAAGTCACCTTACCCATGTGCGGTGGAAAAGGGCTTGTCATGAATAGTAAGATCCTGTTTCACCTTTATGACTGAAATGTTTTGGGGAACTGAGGACAACAGACCAAATATTATGACCAAAGATGCTCCCATGGCTCCTGTAGCTCAGGAAATCCCAAGGATCTGGGCAGCTGTGAGCAGGAGCCATGAAAGAAGACCAATCCTATATGAGAAATATATTTTTGTCATCTAAATGACCAGATACATCTTCTTTGTAAATCACAGTGTCACAGGGGGCTAGCTTGGATAAGAGCTGGATACAGGGCAAGGTGAGACTGTGAGACCCAGACAAGCTTGTCATTAGAGCCAGGCAAGGGGGTGACACGGTGAGCCCAATCCCAGAACCGCCCTGCCGCTGAGCTTCCGGTGTTCTGGTTTCAGAGTCACAGAGCACTGTCATGTGCATGGCAGGGCTGGAACCTGAACCCAGGTGCTCTGGCTGCAGAACCTAATGCGCTGCTTTCCTGCTCCGTGTGCGTGTCTGAACCATTTTCCTGACCTGTACAGTCACACACCTACCTATGAATGAAACAGAGATGTGGGCATAAACTGTTCCCGGACAGCTAGGTTAATTCCGACAGTTAATTCATATGTCAGGACCTACAGAAAAGAGGCCGCCCCAGGGCCTGCCCCACATCACAGATCTGCACCTAAGTCAGCTTGCACTTACAGGAAATACCTCCCAGGGAAACCGCACATACACCAATCACAAGCCTCCCACTCAGCTTTGGCTGGCTCACCTTCCCCCCCAAACAGGACCGGCCAGCCTTCTCCGGGAATCCCCGACCTCCCAGCCTGCCAGGCCTCTGCTGCCTTGTCTAACACCAGCAACTCATTCTTGCCCAGAAACCCTTTGGGAAGAGTCCACTGCTGCGAAGCTTCCCCCAACCCACAAACTGGTTTCCCTCCAGCCGGGGACACCAAACTCGTAAACTGTTTGTCATTTGACCATTTCTGTCAATCCTGTGTTGTTGTTTTTTTGGTTGCCAATTTTCCTCTCTCTTTCAGAATTGTTCTTGGCCTCGGTGCCTGAATTCCAGCTTTTGCACAGCCTCTGAAATGCGGGCAGAGCTGTGCGTTGGTCGGGCTGCCAGGCTGGCTTCTCCATCGCCTCCCCGTGCTCACCTCCCCGAGTGCGTAGGGCCGGAGCGCGCACTGGACCTCCCAGGCCTTCCCCACGTGTTTGCGTCACGAGTCCCTATTCAAGTACCGTTTACGGGGTCACTGGAAATGGTGCCTTCCCCCAACAATCCCGTTATAGATACCCTCTCAGACAAGCGAATACTTCCCCCCAATGTTTTGGTCAATTCATCATCCATTTGTCTCTGCTTACTGGTTAACATTTAAATCCTCTTCAGAGAAATTAAACACTTCGTGAGGCAAGTCCAGGGTTTATCACGATCTCCTTGAGCTGAACACGACGTTGCCTTGGTGACGAGTCTGAGCCGATCAGTTTCGCACACTTCACTGTCCATCTTGAGAAAATGCTCAGCGGGCATCCACCTCAGTGGCTGGACGTGGCTCCTTCAACAGCATTGTTTCATCCTTCCCTCCTAATATTTGCAGCTCCATTTGTTTCCACCCTCAGGTTTTCCTACCGATTCAACTTGCCAACACAGTACCAATCCTTCTATTTAATCCATATCCTTCGATCCAGGTACAGTAAATGCTTTTTATCTATTAACTAGGTACTAGTCACAAATTCCATTCCAAGTCTTAGTAATACCATAACATTGTATTTATGTTGCCCTTTTCAGTTTAAACATATTTTTCTTCCTATTCCTTGTGCACTGATTTATATAAGGAGACTTTAAATTATAAGTTGTTCTTTCCAAATCATTTTAGTATTTATTCTTTTTAGCTGAGAATGACCAGTCATTTCCCATGCCTTCTCCCAGTCACCCTTGCTGACTTGCACAGTAACAGGCTTTGCGTTTTTATCGGAGTCTTTTTTTTCTTCCTCAAGCATCTGTTCTCAGTCCTCTAAATCAGGTTCATGAGTGGTCTGCGACCCCAAGTCCTCTGAGCAGAAGCTCACTGTTCTGGCATCCTACACCAAGATTCTCTGCAGACACATCTCTGAGCCTGGGACTGGATGACACTGAAAACACAGGATGGGCCTGGCCGGCGTGGTTCAGTGGTTGAGCATCGACCCAAGCACTACGAGGTCAATGGTTCGATTCTCAGTCAGGGCACACGCCCACGTTGTGGGCCCGATCCCCAGTCGGGGGCATGCAGGAGGCGGCCAATTGATGTTCTCTCTCATGGATGTATCTATCTCTCTCTCCCTCTCCCTTCCTCTCTCTCTAATATCAATACAGAAAAAAATTAACAAAACAAAACAAAACACAGGATGGGCTCGACCATCCACAGCCAGGTTCTCCTCACACGTGGCAGTGGCTCATCTTCTACCACAGGGGAAGGATGCAGAAACGGAGGTCCTGGCTGGTCTGGGAGACCACCTGGTACTCAGAATGTCTTGTCTGGAATTAAAGTTTATAGGAATAAGAAAAAAATTCAGCAAAACATCTAAAGCTCTGAAAATGTACGCTGAGACCGCTATAAATATTGGTGAGATGATTGTTTGCAGCACAATTTATTATCTGGCCATAGTATTTGGGTTCATTAATAAGTATTGATTCAACATCATTGTGACCACTCTTGAGACAGAGCAACCCCAAAAGAAAACTTCAAAATGTGCAAGAGCAATAAATATCAAACTTTCTGATCTAAAATGTATAAATATAAAATATCAGTCATTTCTGGAAACATCTTAAGAAAATCCAGCAAACACCTGTCCATAGGCAGGTGCCTGGTGATGACGGTGCTCATCTTCAGAACATATCACCTCAGGTCCAGCACAGTGATTTTCATGTCTTTTACCAACACATGTTTGCATATCTAGAAAAGAAAAGAAATTGCCTTTAGGTCATAATGTTGAACAAAATTCTCTGTAGGGAGGAAATCTGAATTGCCTACTTTAAAAATGTTCCTGATTTTAAAAATATTTCCAATCAGAACAGATGAAATATGTTTATGCATTTTCAACAATAAGAAAATATTTACAGAGGTTGCCAAATAATCTTCATTTTAGATAAATACTAATTTCAAAATAACGTTTCTCAGATGTTACAGCCAGAGAACCACCAAAAAATCAGTTAGAAATAAAAGTTGTAATCAAGTAATGTCTCTTTGGGAATGTACAAAGCTAATCAAGAAGCAGGATGAGCCCGGGCCGATTTGGCTCAGCGGTTGGAGCATCTGCCTGCGGTCCAGGGAGACCCGGGTTCAGTTCCTGCTAAGGGCACGTACCTCGGTTGTGGTTTGTCCCTGGCCTTGGTTGGTCATGTGGGTGGCAGCCACTCAATGTGTCCCTTTCACGATGTTTCTCTCTCTCTCTCTCTCTGTTCCTTTCTCCCTCCCACTCTACCTGAATAAAAAAATGGAAAAATGTCTTCGGGTGAGGATAAAAAAAAAAAAGAAGAAGAAGAAGTAGGATGACAACTTTCTTTGAACTGTTATGAAAAAATTAATGTGGCTGCATTAAGTAGAAATCATTCATGAGATACTTAATATCATTTTATTTAATAACTGTTTGCTTCCTTGGCGTCTGAAGGAAACTATATTTGACTATCACTCAGATACTTAAATGGAAAGGTAACTTAACTCTCCTACAGAAATATTGGCATGTCCGGCTGGTGTGGCTCAGTGGGTGAGCGTCGACCCATGCACCAAGAGGTCGCCGGTTTGATTCCCAGTCAGGGCACATGCCCGGGTTGTAAGCCCGATCCCCAGCAGGGGGCATGCAGGAGGCGGCAATCGATGTTCTCTCTCATCAATGTTTCTATCTCTCTCTCCCTCTCCCTTCCTCTAAAAATCAATAAAGGAAAAAAATAATCATTAAAAAAATTTTTTAAATAAAATAAATTTAAAAAAGGAAATACTGGCATTCCCTCATAAATAAAATAATAGAACAAATTACAAAGAATGACTCATTTTCTAGAGAAGAAAACTCCAAACTAAGCAGTACAGTATTTCATCCCATAGTACATTGCTTAAATTAAAAAAAAAAAAAACGAGGTGAAAAAACCAGTAAGCCGCAGTGTCGACTCACGCTGAACAGCCTGGGCTCCTTGGTGTGCGGATGGAAGCCTTTCTTCTTGCAGGTGGAGACCTCCAGCATGCCGGCGCTGGTGAGCCTGAAGATGCCGGTGCTACGTTCCAGGGTGAAATGAAGGTACAAAAATCAGGGATCGCTCGGGCTTTCCAGATGCTTAATTTGAGTGGCACAAGCATACATAGTCCTCAAATGGGATGGAAGAAAGCACCACAAACTAGAAATCGTGGTGATTGTTTAAACCAATCTTACTATGACCAGCTTAGAAAAGAGGGACGTTGGAGGGGCTGGAGCTAACTCCAAGCACCTGCAGGACTGTAGTGGGCAAGAGGCAGCTGAACTGTCCTGTGAGACCCCAGGGGAAAAGCCGAGGCCCCATGGTGGAAATCACAGGGGGCAGATATTTTCAATTGTTCTAACAATGGTCATAGTGGTGACAGCAACAGGAAATCTTTATGGAGGGGTGGTGCCGGGCACTATGTGAAGCCCTTCACATAGATGATCATCTATAGTTTTAGCCTCCATCTACCTATGATGGGCAGGTATCAGGGATGAAGAGGCTGAGCTCACGGTGGTCAGGTATCCTGCTAAACACACCACTGGAGAGTGGAGACGAGGCTCCTATATAACTTTATACGAGTCCTCTGCTGATAATCGCTCAACAATAATAACTGTCTCCCGCACCTAGAATGGTTTGGGAGATCATTAAACGGAGGCTGGAAATTTCCTACAATGGGAAACGATACAGTAGAACTAAAATCTCAAATGGCAAACTGGAATAATGGCATCCAGTTTATCCACTTCAAGGTCATGTTCACTGAAGAAAGAGAGCCCGTAATTCTACCCCTGAAGAGGACCTTGAAAAGCAAGACTGCAGAGCTACAGGTGCATGGGAACTGGCTGTCACCAATCTGTTTCTCCCAAGGGCATGGTGGCGAGGGCCACTCCCTGGTGCTGGGCACACTGGAACCCGCACCCTGCACAAAGCCTTACGGGAGCCCCTCAGCAGAGACGCTTACTCTTTATGCTTTGGTGAACACACGATGGCGACCGCCTCTGGCAACATAAGCTGATAGGAGCAGTGGGTGTGAAGATCAACGCTGGATAAGAACGCAGTTTGGGTTGGATGTGTCTATAAAAAGAAAAGAGGAACAGTCTTACTGGGGTGGCTGAGTCTTACCCAAGGCCACAGCCCATTCTAAGAGAAAACTCTAGTTGTGTGCTCAGTCTTCTTTACCATCGTTAATGAAATACAAATTTTTTAAAATGATTTGCTGACATTTTTTGCATCTTTGGAATAGCTGCAACTTTGAGAAGAGGTTCTTGGGAGTATTCGTGTGTCCTTTCTGCTTATTGGGAAAGACAGGACTGGAAATGAATTTGCCAGAGGCTCTGAATTGATTTGCATTTAATCATCACAAATCATCTAGGAGGTGATCTCAATTTTACATACAAGGATCCTGAGGCTCCTTTAAGTAACTTGCCTGTGGGCACACAGCTGGTCAGGAGCAGAACTGTGACTGGAAACCCAGAGATACTTTATCCAAAACCATGGACGCAAAAGGAAAGTGTTCACTAAAGTTATCACACAGGGCTGTTATCCATCTGTGGGTCACCATTCCCTACAAATGGGAGAACAGAAGTCTCCAGGTTGTCGAAAGTATTTGGGACTGACTGTGCTCAGGCAGTATTGATGCACATGATGAGAAGGAAGAGATTATAAATGAAAATGATTATCCTCCAGGTTTGGGGCTATATACACACTTGTATTTATGAGAGACAAATCAGAGGTTCATACATGGATAAGAAAAATAGATGCACCCATAGTGATTTTAAAATTCAGTCAAATTACCCTTGAAGAAGGAATGTGACCATTTAAATTATGAAACCGAGGTCCGTGGCTTGCACTGTCGGGGTCCTGCCTGCATCACCCACTAGCTACACAGCACTGCAAAGATTCCTTAACCTCCTCGTGTCCATTTCATCAACTATAAAATCAGCATAATCATTTTCTCATGAGATTATGAAAATTAAATGAGACAATCCATGTAAAATGCTTAGAATAGCGCCTAGCACATAGAAAGAAACCAAAATCATTCACTATTCTTCCTGCTACTGTTATTTTAATATTGGCATCACTAACGGGCATCGGCTCATCGAAATAGCTTCATGCCACTATGTGTAACTACGAGTTCTTCAAGAAATGTTAAGATTTTAAAACTCCTTTCTACATTATTTACTAGAATGAAGATAAAAATCCATTGATATTTATTTACAGCAAGATTCGTGTTCTGCAAGAAAAAAAAAATAACTCTTGGTCTGCAAAGACCCAGAGCAACTGAGGAATGGAAATTACCTACTTTTAAAAAACAACTCTTTAGTGAAGGCACGAGTGGGAGGGTCTGACTGCCTGTTACCTGTTTCAGTGAAAACCTTCTCTTAGTACAGAGAGCCTTGTGTGCCTTGGTGAGAAAGCAGGATGTATTCAAAGGAACTCCAGTATTCTGGAGGCAGACAGCAGAATGTCAAGCAGACAAGTCACTCCACCTGTCACTTTCTTTCCAGACTGAATGCACACCACAGGACATTCTGAGCCCTGTGCTGCTGCCAGGAGGAATCACTTCTACTCCGTGAGGACAACTGTCCCATGGAGAATGGTGCTCCCCCATCTCTATGGAAACGAAAATGATGATGATGATGATAACGACAATAGCAGCAGATGTCATTTACTGCGGTTGAACTAATCACTTTCCATGAATTATCTCATTGAATTCTTACAATAACAAGATGAGAGAAGTGCTATTATTATCCCCACTTTACAGATGAGAAAACTGAGCTAAGCAGAAGAGTTAATAGCACGCTGAAGGTCATAGAGCTAGTGAGGCTGAGAAGTCTAAACTCGGTTTTCAGATCTGTCTGATTCTGATTCAGCCCTTCTTTCCTGTGACTCATTTATATCTGAAAAAAAGTTAGCTGGGGAATTTGTTGCTATCATTATGACAATAAAAGTCCTCACAAAAAGTCATTATAACCACTAAAGTTTAAACATATAATATTTTAGTGTTTTTGTTGAACTGCAACAATTTGGAATGGTGAAATAAACAAAAAGCAAAACGCCCAGAATTCTGGATTTATGCCAAATATATTATGTAAATGACCTAACTTCATTATTGCATAGATTCTATTCATAGGACATAAGGAAAAAACTTTTATTTCTAGTTTGAGAAATGTTTTGTACGATAAACATTGACTTTTTGATGTAAGTTTAATGGACTGTCATTCTTTCTAAGTTTATGTTACAAATTCTTTGCTATAATTTTTTTTTGCTTTAAAATACACTCTTGTTACAGAAAACCATGTTAAACTAAATAATGCCTTTAAAATTCAGCAATCTCTAAGCAAACAGTAAGGCACATTACTTACTGTTAAGTAAAACAAATAGACATATGGAATGTTTTGCAAACTCTTCATTATAAATAATTTCTTGTATTTGAGAGGCAGTTTATACTTTTCACAAGGCTGTCAAACCTGGTGTCTTGCTTACAGCTCACACACATCTGGTGAGGGAGAGAAGGTTTGCATTAGCCCCACTTGGTCAACGAGGGAACCTGGAAATAAGGAGATTAGGAGCCCTGACCAAGAGCACATGGTAATTTACTGGTGGAGCTGGGTTGAAGTCTCCTCTTCCCTCCTTAAATTAACAAACTCTTCATTATAAATAATGAAGACTCTGCTTGGTGATTTTGTGGGTGCAAGTATGTGTGTAGGTATGGGCGTGTGTCCTGTCCCTATTCAGTACTTCTCTATAAAGCAAATAAAATTTTTTAAAAAATGGTCACATCATTCTTCAGGGACTCTTGAAAGTCCCAAAGATGTGCCCTGGAAATCTTGGCCAGCATCCCATAAGAGTAGGATGATTTGTTCCTACGCAGGCCCAGATGTATGAAACTGAATGAAAAAATACCCTCCAAAGAGAGTAAACCAAGGACAGAAAAAGTAGAATATGCCCAGCCAGTGTGGCTCAGTGGTTGAGTGTTGACCCATGCACCAAGAGGTCGCTGGTTCGATTCCCGGTCAGGGCACATGCCCAGGTTGTGGGCCCAATGAAGGAGGCAGCCAGTTGATGTTCTCTTTTATCGATGTTTCTATCTCTCTCTCTCTCTCTCCTTTCCTCTCTGTCTAAAAATCAATAAAGAAAAAAGTATTTAAAGAAAAAGTAGAATATTATCACCAAAACCAACAATGTAATTTTCTGAGTCCCTAGAAAAATGTGCTAAGAAATTCCGATATCTCATTTAACACTCACCATCCCCATAAGTCAATTATTATAATCCCTGTTTTATGGATGGGAAAGCTGATGTTCAGATTGCTTCGATAACTTGCCATTATTTCTATAATGAATTCTTAGCAGAGCTGAGATTTAAACTAATGTCTTTTAATCCCTAAGCCCTTTCTTGTTCCTGTGGTGGCCTGGGGGGTGGTAGAATCCAACATTTTTGGCCCATCCTTTGGCCCTACTCCATGACTGTCTGTACAGTTCTGCATCGCTGGCCTGCAGGGGAGATGTGGTGGAGGGTATGATCCCTACTTAATATGTCCAGCCCTGGCCAGTTTGGCTCAGCGGTTGGAACACTGGCCTACGGACCAGAGAGCCCGGGGTTCGGTTCCCGCTAAGGGCACGTACCTCGGTTGCAGTTCGTCCCCGGCCCCAGTTGGGGTCGTGTGGGTGGCAATCAGTCGATGTTTCTCTCTCTCTCTTTCTCCCTCCTTCCCTCCTGCTCTATCTGAGGATAAATGCAAAAATGTCCTCAGGTGAGGATTTAAAAAAAAAGTCCAAATACCTGCTTAAAAAAAACATTTTCCAACATGTTCTTAAAGTAATCTACTTTAGACCCATGGCAAAGGGAAAGAGAACATTCATTGTCTAGACAATTTAGTTAAAAATCTCACTAGGCCTCTATTACACTATGTAAGAATCATGAAAACAAGTCACTAATTTCCAAATGTCTCTCCCTCTTTAACTTGGTAGGGAAAAAACAACAACAACACAATATAACCTTTGCCAAATTCGGATTTGACAGATTTAGACATAGCCGAACATTGAAGAAAATGCTTTGATGTGATGACATTTATTAGACTGGAAAAATATTAAAAAATAAGGAATGATTCCAATTAAGCTGAATTTCCTCAAGGGGGAAATAGTACAGCACACCACACACACACACACTGAGACACAGGGCCAGACGTACGTGGATCCAGCCCAGGGTGAGGAGATTGTGCTGATCCTGAACACTGAACAGCTCCTCTACATTCTCCACATCACAGTAGTCTGGTCCTGCAGACTGCTTTGGCACGATCACGTGGGTAATAGTAAATTCATTGTGCGTCTAAAAAACAATTAACAAGAAGCATCATCTCCTGACAGAGGGGACCAAAGAAAGCATCTGGCAGAAAAAAATACATATAATCCTGGATTTCCCGCCCCACAACAGGCATCATCCTCTCCCCACCCCAACACAATTCAAAAACAGAGTACAGGTACCAAACTAGAACATGGATTGTTTGCCCAAAATCTGAGTCAGCACTATAGAGCTTGAAACCCATTTTCACAACAGAAAATGTACCCTAAATGGGAATTTGCAACCCATGGCAGCTTAGTTAATAAATAATGTTTGGATATATCACATCTGTAATGGAAAAATCGAACAAAATACTAGTGGGTTTATTTGGGGGGTGGGGAGGGAGGGGAAATACTAGTTCAATAATTGTGTGGTGTTTACTGGAGGACATTTCTAAGGTTTTTGGGGGTTGATGATATGGTTTTTATTTTAATTATATTCTATTTATTTTAAATATATTCTATGGTCTAATTATATTCTATTCTAGGACTTCTACTTTTGGGGGGACTTGCTGAGATTTTCCATAATTAAGGTAATCTTTTGGATTTGCAATTAGACACTTAAAATAAATTACTCACCTCAGGTAAAAGATAAGAGTTGGAAGGAGGAGGGTGAGAAGCGGGGTAGGAACCTCGGGTAGGAGATGCTTGTGGCACTCTAAGCCGTCCACCCCTCCACAGCACCCCCTCTCTGGGCTGAGAAGCCGTGGACGTCTCTCTAGTCTAACAGCTTTCCTGCAAACCGGCCACTCTCCCTTTAGCCTTCATTACAGCTCTTCCCTCCATCCCAGCCCCTCGTCCATGGCTCACTTCGTGTATCCTGCAGACCTAACGTCATGATCACTTCTCAGGAAAGCCCTTCTAGACCCTCCCGGCACCGCTAGCCTTCTAGTTACACATTCCCATGACCCCGCATTTCCAGCCCCATTCATAACTAATCATCTGTCTGGTCCTTTCCAAGCATCATGTGGCAAAGGCTGTGGCTGTTGTAGGCGACCGAATGCCAACACCTAGCGCAGTGTCTGGCACATGCAGGTTCTCAGTAAATATCTGTCTGATGAAGGAAGGAATGAAGCTAACTACAACATATGGTCCTGGGGAGGAAGCATCATAGCCCACTACCCCCTGCAGGGAAAATAAGGTGGCTTCGGGGAGGAGATGACAGGTCATTCTCCTGTGCCTGTCAGCTCTGCTTCCTCTCTCCTGGAGGAAACAGATGACGCAACAGTGGAATACGGTAGGAGAATGTGTGTTGAATAAAACATTATGAGTTCAATTAAATGACAGTTCCTAAGCTAATGTTTAGGACTGAAAATGTTCCTGGACCCAGAAAAATAAACTTAATTTCTAGGAGACTATGAAAGGGCACTTCCAAAGAAACATTATTCATCTTCCTTGCAAGTAGAAAATCAAATGCATCTTTTCTCTTTTATCTCCTTCTATTTTGGGACTGTCTTTCATCACACAGTTCTGATACAATCTTCCCTACTTAAATATGGCCTGTGCCATTAGATGTCAGTTTGTGGAAGTGACTGCCTTAAAGGAAACAACCAAACCCTAGTTGTATTCCACATGCATCTGAAAGAGGGGGCGAGATGGTATCTCCCACAGATAAAAGCAGGCAGGGTGACTTACATGAATGTATGTGAAACTAACAATTGCAACAAAAACGTGTCTTAGAAAACTAGGTGGTTTTGAAAATCTGATGCCTGGAATCCCTGAAAGTTTATCATCCATTTTCTAGGACAATTCCATAAATAATGGCAATAGTTTTATGAAAGTAATCTATGTAAAGTTAATTTCATAATATTTGTGAGTCTCAGGATGTTTTTATTCTGTTCTGTTTATCACAAGGTAAGTTTCCTGTGGAGAGACACGCAACAAAGACATACCAGTTTTCCACAGAGTATTCCACAGGTTTCTATCCCTCTCACGGTATTAGATTCTGCCAGCAGCAGAAATTTGTGGCAAAGATCTCTTGATAAAACGACACATCGTAGTCCTTCAACCACTAAATCTAAGAAACAGAAAAGGGAGAAGAAGCTAAAAAGCAAAGCTTACATCCCATCCTTCAAAACAGTTTTTGGCAAGGGACTACAAATAAATGTAAATATCAAAAAATGAAACTCCATTTTCCATGGGTTAGTTGAAAACTCGTGTTTGCATGTATGTGTAACCAATGAACATAGACAACAAAGCTGGGGACAGGACCGGGAGAGGGGGTGGATTGGGAGGAGGATGTCAATGGGGGAAAAAGGAGAAACATCTGTAACAAAAATAAATTAATAAAAAATTTTTTTAAACTTTAAAAGTAAACTGACTAAAGGAAGATAAAATTACCCTTTGCAGATCCATTTTATTTATTTATTTATATTTTTTTTTGTTCAGATAGAGTGGGAGGGAGAGAGAGAGAGAGAAACATCAACGTGAAAGGGACACATTGAGTGGTTGCCACCTGCACAATCCAACCAGGGACGAGGACAAACTGCAACCAAGGTATGTGCCCTTAGTGGGAACCAAACTTGGGTCTCTCTGGACCGCAGGCCGACACTCTAACCGGTGAGCCAAACTAGCCAGGGCTGCGGATACATTTTATAAACAAATGGCAAAGCATGCGCATGTTTGCATCTCCATGCCCAAGTCACCTGTCCGCAGGTGTGCACAAGTTTTGTTCTGGCCCAAAGCAAAGCACTGTCAAGTGCACAGGCTGCACAGACTACATCTCACCTCCCGTAAGACACAGGGTGAATATCTAGTATGTTTCCCATAGGTTGCTTATATCTTTATGAAAGTTGGTAATAATTAAGTAAAAAGATGATGTGCTCCAAAATAATTAGCAGTCGAGTGAGTAACTTACAAACTGGTTGCCAATCATGACTTTTCAAAAATAAATGGAAACACAAACTCCATCTGTCAGCGTCTGTCGGGAAGAACCATTTGATTCTGAAAACCTGCTGGTGTAGAGGCAGCAGCACCCAGCAGCATCATTGGTGGCAGTTACTGCCCAAGTGCAGGTCTTCCTGGCCCAGGGCAGTGCTAACCATTTACATTCAAATTGCTTGGTGAAGTTCTGGACAAACAAGTTTCTCCACATCTTTCATCTCCAGTATAAGTGTTTAAAATTCTTGTGATTTCTTGATAAAATATATGAAAGACAAAAATAATGTGTGGAATTCTTCTCTTTTAGAACCTCTGTACCAGGACCAAATATAGTTTTGTTTTATTAGAGATTCTCTGCTCTCTCAGGGGACAAATCACTTTCCCTGAATTTTCAGGTTACACAGAATACAAGCCATATGGTACAGAAAGATTAGCTCTGTACACACACACACACACACACACACACACACACACATATGGGGGAGGGGATCCTACCACAATTGATAATGAAATGAGGACCCTCCCAGATGTTCCAGAAATATGATTGCATTAGCAGAGACAGTGTCTTGCAGGGGCTCGTTTTATCACTTACTCTGAACAGCACTTAGAGTAGCAGCTGGCTTTAAGGCCCTGTTGACTGGCGGGGAGTGGGTCGCATAATGGGTTGCATCACCTTTATTAGGTTGATCAGCAAATACATTCAGCAAGGAATTGTTCTGGTGGGTGGAAAAGCAGGACAAGGCATGGCCATCAACCTGCTCCGACAGCACAGGGGTTTCCTGGCTCCGCAGCTGACCTCGGGCTAATTCTTGCTTCTTGAGCTGATCTTCGAAAAACAGAAACTGCTCTGTTTCCAGCTGCTGCTGGCGCATCTGGGCGATCCGCTTCCTTTCCGCCTCTATCAATCGCTGATGTTCCAGTTTTTTTAAGATTTCAGCTTTATATTTGTTCTAAAAAATGGGGTTGCCAGAGCAAAAGGTTAGTTTCCAAGGTAAGAACATCACCCTGGGATTAAACATTCAATCTTCCAGCAGACAGAGAGGCAGCCAGAGACTGTGATCTGCCCTCAGGGGCGGTGAGGAAAAGCTGTAACAACCTGATTCAGGCAGTAGTTCTAAATTCACTCCTATTTTAGCAGACAGACCAGGACGATCAACTTCCCTCCACGCGCCTGCACTTTTAAATATTAGAAAATCAGGGTCAGGATGGTCTGCTCAGCCTGACCAGCCAAATACTATGGAACAAAATATCTCGGAAGTGGTTATATCACCCTCGACTGCACTGGCCAATATAATAGCCCATAGCCATCGGTGGCTATCTACATTTAAATATATTAAAATTAAATACAATTAGAAAATCAGTTCCTTAGTCCTGCTAGCCACATTTTAAGTACCATGTGGCTCAGGACTCCCCCATCACGGAGTGCCACGTGGAACATTCCCATCACTGCAGGGAGTTCCATTGGGCGAGTTTGCCCTGGAACCCTTTGCATTTGACTCTAGAACTCATACTGCTGGAACTTTATAGAGAAAGGGGATCAATAAGAAACAGTTCTCGTATGGCCGGTGTGGCTCAGTAGTTGAGCGGTGACCCATGCATCAAGAGTTCGCCAGTTTGATTCCTGGTCAGGACACATGCCCAGGTTGTGGGCCTGATCCCCAGTGGGGAGTATGCAGGAGGCGGCCGATCAATGTTCTCTCTCATCGATGTTTCTGTCTCTCTCTCTCTGTCCCTCTCACTTCCTTTCTCTCTAAAAAAATCAATAAAGAAAAAAAAAAGTTCTCAAAATGTGGTCCAATAGTACAACAAACCAGGACCTTTTAAAAAAATAAAGATTCCCAAGCTCCCCAGCCTTATAAAAAATATCCAGGCATTGTCCAGCTTGTGTGGCTCAGTGGACTGAGTGTTTTCCCATGCACCAAGAGGTTGCTGGTTTGATTCCCAGTCAGGGCACATGCCCAGGTTGCAGGCTTCATCCCCAGTAGGAGACATGCAGGAGGACGCACATCGATGTTTCTCTCTCATCGATGTTTCTATCTCTCTTTCCCTCTCCTTTCCTCTCTCTAAAATCAATAAAAACATTTTTTAAAAATCCAGGTATTATTAGATAAGAAAATACAATTTTTTAATAAGCTCCCCAAATAATTTTGTAAAAACTAGAGTTTAGGAGGTATGAGGGGGGGCACAACTTGCAGCCACATGTGGATATGCACATAATCCGGGGTCTTGTTATGGGCAGGTGTTGACTGAGCAGGTTCAGATGGGGCCTGAGATTCCGCATTTCTAACAAACTCCCAGGCAATACTGGTGTTGCCTATAGCGTGCTCACCGGTGTGTCTGTTCATCTCTCCCAGGCATAAGGGCCGCAATGCTATCTCCCCAGAGATTTCTACATGTCACATATGTGGGATCTGCTACTGTGGACTGTGAAGCAATTGGTTATCACCAAAGGCAGACCATGCAACAGCTGCTGAGGCTGCTGTCCCAGCAAAATCCCGAGGGGACAACCAGGCACACTGCTGAGCACGGAAGGGAGACTTAAGTGGGCTTTTCTCTCCCTTGCTGTCGCTTTGCTTGAGCCTCCAGAATTTTTTTTTTTTTTTAATGTTTTATTGATTTTTTAGAGAGACGGGAAAGGAGAAGAAGAGGGTAATAGAAACACCAATGTGAGAGAAACATTAATTGGCTGCCTCCTGCATCCCTCTACTGGGGATCAAGCCCACAACCCTGGCAAGTGCCCTGACTGGGGATAGAACCGGTAACCTCCTAGTACATGGGATGATGCTCAATCCACTGAGCCACACCAGCCGGGTCCCAGAAGCATTTTTAGCTTTCATAGCACAAATCAAATCATCCATATCCACACTCGCAGGAGTCCTCTGAATTCAACATTTCCTGTCACTTTGTCAAAACATCTCACTTAGACCCAACCTCTGGTTATGCCCAAAGAACATAGCGAAGTTCCGTCACCATGTCAGAAGTGAGGACCAGTAAAGGTGACAACTCCCAGGGCACATAAACACATAAACACAAAAAGCAAAAAATCTTTATAATAAAGCGGAAAACATTAAAAATTCATATTTTCAATTTGTGTATCCTATAAACTGGCCAGTTTCTTCTTTCAATGCCTTTCAGTCTCTTAGACATCATTATCATTTTCACTCTTTATTTAATAAGAATCCAGAAGCCATCACCCCTTGGTAATAAGATTATATTTTACCCATAGGATTATAATTCTACCTCAATAAAATATGGAATGTAATATGTAAGAATCTAATTTACATTTCCAAGGCCTACAAATTAGATACATCAGAAACCATATACTGTTCTCCCTAGAACCTACTATCTCCATTCATCAGCAAAAAGCAATCACCTGGCTCAAGGTTACATTGGCAAGAGTTCCACAAAAAGCTCTATTAAAATCACCATAGGAAATCTATTTTCTAATGCATCACTTTATTAGATGCTGTAAGAAAATAAAAATACCACATCTTTGGTGCAAGTGCTTAACCTAAACATCAACATAAATTTTTTATGGCTGTTGCATCACTGCAGCTTTAATTTTTAATTTAAATGCATATGACATTTAAAGAAACTCATATGAAAATAAAACTCAAAAATATATTTGCACAGAAAAGTCATGAAATAAATGTACCAATTGAACTTACTTTGCTTTGCATATATTCTTGGTATTCTACGTTATATTTCTTTAAAAGGTCCTTTTTCAATTCATCTGTCCTTGGAAATGCAATCTCCTTCAGTTTCTTTTAAAAATATATATACATATTGATTAGTGGGATTTTCAGATCATCAGCTGGAATGTGTATTAGAAATCAAGACACAAGTAACCAAAGATGATGGTGGAAAAATAAATCTCTCTTTTCTAGGGCTCCAAAATATAATTTCTCAGTAGGGAAGGGAAAACATTATCCCCTTTGCAATGCTTATCTGAGTTGTGTTTAGATAGGTACCTCATTTTGAGGTAGTGGCTTTGTAACTGCTCATTCCACAGTACGTGACTGATATGTCATCACAGTTAGAAGGGACACTGAAGAATGTGGTTGATATGGACTCCTGGTTTGATAGACTATATAATGCACTGAGAAACTTTTCATAAAAATATAGATTCCCCAGCCTAAACCCAGATTTACTGAATCCACATCTTTACTGGAAGGGAAGGGGTTGGGGACTCTGGATCTCAAACAATTTCCCAGTGATTCTTAATGGCTGAGAAATCTGATATTGTCCAAGCACAGCCCCCCACCCCCTCTTTTTAGAGATGAGGAAACAAATGCCTAGAGAAATTAACAGGCTTGTCTAGTAGCATACAACTAGCTGCTGGTCCCGTTATAACTAGAATACAAATCTAACTCTAGCCAGGCTCTTCCACTAAAACCTCTCTTCTCTCGATCTTTTGTCATTCATCCACCCAGCCATCTGTCCATCCGTTTATTCAACAGGCATAAATAAAGAAATGGACATGCTTTTGGAGAATTTTTCCTACAAGTGAAAACAAGAATAACCCTAAATTAGAATAAACGAGTCACACTGGCAGCCTGGGACCTCTGATTTCCATACAGAATTCTCAGAGGTTGAATGAACAAGAGAATTGAGGGGAAATGCTACAAAAAGGCATGGAAATAAGTGACCTTCAGATAAGAGTGCATACAAATTTTTTTTTTTAATGTAGGTGACCATTTGACAAAATTTGAGTTCTGCTTACAGGCAGCGCCAGGCCATAGGTAACTGGTAAAAGAGCCTTTATTTCATTATATGGTAAAATACCTTTGGAGAGTTATTTAAAATTTCAGTCTGTGATTAGCTTTGTATATATTGTTTATCTTCCTTTACATAAGATCAACCTAAACTACTTAAAGACCAACAGATTGAAAAAAACATTTTAAAAATGTTATTTAAAAGGATACATTCTCAGCTAACGATATTTGAAACTATGTTACAAATGTTGATGAGGAATAGATACATTTTGCAATCTTCCTTTTCCTTGTGAATGTTTCAAGCCATTTCCTAAACACCTTTTTACCCATTAGGCTAGTTCCTGAATAATCAACAGTGATTTTCAAACAGTTTTGGGGTTCTGGACTGCATGAAATAATTAAAACCAGCCAAAATGATGGTGTCAAATACGTATGGAGAAATAAATAGCTGGTCTCTCAGTCTCTGGGGAAAATGGTCAAATAATTCCTTCTTCATGCCATAAAGTGATTGAGCACATTCTTGATCTCTTTTTTTTTCTTCCCCTTCCCCCCGCCCAGTTCAATGAAACATCCCACACTGACTCAGAAATGATATTAAAGGTCTAAGAAGAAATCGAATCTTCACGGCTAATGGAATGAATTTTTTGTGCTTAAACTCTCAAGAGGATGAGACAGGAGGAAAGGAAGGTAGTGTGAACCAGTAATGGATACTTGTGGGGCATTTGATCCCACCGGGGAGCATCGACCTCACAATACCTTCATAATGTCCTGCTTTTCGGGCACTGCGCATTGCTGGTAATCTCGATGACTGGGGAGCTTTTCCACAAACAAGCTAGAGAAGGAGAAAGCACGTCCTTAGCATTATATACAGAAGAAGCTCAAGGGTGGTTTGTACTATGAGAATGAGACTCCTTGTCAAAAAGGACATGTTAAATACATTATTATTTAACCTATGTTCATTTCATCTGCCTTCCCATCAAATGTTGGCAGGGAGTATGATTTTTGCTTCACGGGGTAGTTAAACTCAGTAAACTAAGCCCTGAGGTTAAAAGGGTCAGGACGCTCCCTACCTAAATAGACCAGGTCACTTTGGTCTTTCTCAGGTTTTGGGTACGTAATCCCACCATAGCACCATCTATGTGTGCAGCTGGCAACAGAGCATCACGTAAAAATGGAAGAGGTTGGGTCCGGCCAGTGTGGCTCAGTGCCTGAACGTTGACTCATGCACGATGAGGTCGCCAGTTCAATTCCTGGTCAAGACACATGCCCACGTTGTGGGCCTGATCCCCAGTGGGGGGCATGCAGGAGGCAGCCCATCAATGTTCTCTCTCATCGATGTCTCTCTCTCTCTCCCTCCCTCTCTCTCTCTCTCTCTCACTTCCTCACTCTCTAAAGTCAATAAAAGGGAAAAATTTATTTAGAAAAACTTATTTAAAAAACAAGTAGAAGAGGTTGGGAAGACTGATGTAATCCCTTCTTGTGAGTGAAAAAGACTCAAAGGACCACTGATGAATCATCAGTGCCGTGATGTATGCATCAAACACTCTTAACTGAAAATTCAAATCTAAGAGAAATGACAGCGAGACTCCCTAGTGGTTTAGGTGCTAATTAGAGGTTAATCAGTTTTCATACCCTTTTTGAGGAACAAGGAACAGCAGAAGTAAAGGGGAGTCCTTAGAGCAAACCAAGGACATCACTTCCAAGCCAAGTGAAAGTAATGCTTCCACAAGATACTTTTCCACTGCATTTCTCACTGATGTGTCTATCCCAAGCCTGTACAATAATGTCCAGCCACAATGGGTGCTCAATAAATATTTGTTCAGCGAATGAATAACCCTTCAGTGGTAGATTGTGATGGGCTATAAATACTATTTCTGATCAACTAACAGGTGCTGCCTTATAATTACTTATGTTCTGTTGTTAACAAAGCACGAAAGCACTCATCATCCCACCTGTCGGGTAACCTGGAATGGTATCCCAACTCCCACCTCGCAAATGAGAAACCTAAGGCGTAAAGAGGCTACACACATTGTTAGTTGCCTGAGTCTTTTTAAAAAGAACAAAGTCACAAACATTTCGAGTTTGAAGAGACCTCATATTCATCCACCAGTCATTTGTTGCTAAGGAACTGAGGCCCATGGAGGGGAAGTGAATTACAAATTACCACATGGTTAATGACAGAGGGGAATTCAAATACTCTGATTAGTCAGTGACTGAGAGTACAGTAGCCTTTGCCCTTTATTACACCTGGGCATTTGCCCTTTATTACACCACAGAAACGTATGCAAAATTCAGGCAGAAAGTGAAAAAGAAATATTATCCACTGGTAACCTGTACTAGTTAGGAAATTAAAAATTTTGAAAAACATGTGCTCTCAATGACAATTGATAACCTCCAATTTCATATGTATCGTTTACCTTTCTAGAAACAATTGATGTTCCCAGGTAGGCTAAATGTTGCCAACCACAAACTTCTCAAATGTTCTCAGGCTAAGTGCCCCACTGAACTAGTGAAATTAATCAACAAGTGACTTTCAATTAAAACAAAAATAAGAGTTTCAGCTTAGCTTAAACAATTATTAGTAACAGATTTTCCCAACCAGTCATCTGGCAAATTAATAAGGAAAATCCAAATCCCATTTCTGTTAAGTCTTAGACCAGAATATGTCAGTAACAACATCTTTCTAATGGGAGGTATGACAGTTTCACATGGTTGTTTTGAGGTAGACACTTTCCCTCAACATTTTGGAAGTCCCTTTACACATAGTATTATTACACAGCTAAATAAACTGCTTAAAAAAAAAAACTAACTACAATGTGAAACTGACTGTTATACTCTATGCCAGAATCAAATCCTTCCTACAGCTGCCAACTCATCCCCCCCGACTCAACTCATCAAATCAAATTTTTAAAAGGTGAACAGCATGTTTCAGGTACTGTAGATGGAGCAGCAGTATGGCTCATAAAACTTACATTCCTATATGGAGAGAGTGGCATGAAACAAGAAATTGTCTTTGCAAAAAGTGTTCAGGACAGGGACATGCAGGTCACCGTGTTGGCCTATTGAGAGAGCATCTCACACCCCTGGGCTCATCACATCCCTAACCTTCTTCCCATAGGTAGGCCTCAGGCATGATATGGAATGCCCTTGAGTACATTTACTTGGTCATTTTAAAACTTACACATTTAATGTGTTGGGAGATTGTAAAATTGGTCTGAATACGGGAATATTCCTGGCATCCAAAACTGTCTCACCAAAATATCACATCACTATTTTATCCAATTCTCTCATTTCAAAGACTTACGTTATAAATTTATTATAAAGAACAAAGGCATTTTCCAAGTTTCCTTCTTCCAGATACACAGATGCCATCCTCTCCATTTCGACTCCGGATCGGAAGTAGCGGCGCGGAGTGATGTCTTCATTGACGGTGATGTTACATCCAAGCTTGCTTAGGGCTCGGACCCGCTCCTCCGGGCTGAGGGAAACATCCGTATGGTCAGGCATAGCAGCTAACTTTTTCTGCAAAGCAAAGTTTGAACCTCTGATTATAAGAATAAATAAATATGACTGAAATTAGGGATATTATTCTGTATGAGATACCCGACACCAATATCTAAGGAAAGCTTTTTGTAAGACTTAATAAGATGATAAAAGCAAAGTCCTTTTGCTCCAACACGTGTTCTACACACACACAAAAAGACACACATCTCTAGGGTAAACATGAGTTGTCGTTTTGTTTTTATTGAGGGAAGATCTCTTTTCGGTTTCAGAGTACAATTCTGTGGCAGATCCTGGTATGCAAATGTTTTAGGTTATTTTAAGTAAAATATCATTGATTCTTTCTCCTCCTGGACCGAGAGCAGGACTCCTGCAGGGTAGGGCTCGTGTCCTACTCTGAGGGGTCTCCAAGCGATAGCTTGGGTTCAACGTTACTATAAGGTTTCAACTCTATTCCAGAACATATCTAGTGTAACAGAAGCTCTCAGCCACCTGCATCTTCACCAAGTGAATACAATACCATAACTAAGTCCTGCAGAGGCCTTTCCAAGCATATAAACACCTCCCCACCACCCCCTTTATTTTAAACATTAAAAAGACTCTCAGACCTTAGTAATTACACTAATTCACCCAGGACTGCAAAAATAATGATGATAATTACTAAGAAGCAGCCAGTATACAAATATATTAATATATTTGTATTTTATCAATAAAAACGGCATCTATACACATTTGGAAAAACACAGAACACACACGCTCAAGGTAATTATTCAATTATTCAGTAGAAAGGCAAAAAAGTCAGCAAATGGCTTTTTTTGTTTGGTCTGTGTGCATGTGTTCCTGTTAAAGGCCATACAGCAAGCAGTTCAGGCTTTCTGGGCCACGCTGGCTCTATCCCAGCTATTCAGAGCGGCCACCGCGATCCTGGCTGTGTTCCAGACTTTTATTTGCAGAAACAAGCAGGTGGATTTGGCCCTCAGACCATAGTTTGCTGAGCCCTGCTTTAGACCAGTGCTTCTCCAAGGGCAATCCTTTTGCACCAGCCTCAACCGGGCTTCTGCAAATTCCTAACAGGCCCCAGCTCAGATCCACAGACTCAAAGTCTCTGGAGGTCGGTCTGAAGTTTTAACTAGAGGCACATATGCCTGTGGCAGTTTGAGAAGGACTGATTTAGACCACTCTCTGACCACGCTACCATCTTTTGAGGCTCCAAGAACGGAGTTAGCCCAGAACAAACTTAGCTTCCCAAATCCCCTTCAGGCCATCCAGGTAGGTTGCCAATCTGACTACAGTGTGGGTGGAGCATTTGATGACGGTCTGTAGAAAATTTTAAAAAAAATCAAGGTAGACATAGTTTTAGTCTGGCCATAAATGACTGCACCAGCATTCACGATCAGAGCGCAGTGAATTAGATACCCGTCATTTTTCCAATGCCATCTGGTCTACTTTGGTGGTAATTTTATAGCAGGCAGAACCCTAGAGACCTGGACTGACTCTTATTCTAAAGGTTTAATATATAACCAGAGAGATATAGCTGGGTTTCTCAATGGCCTCTTGAGGTCAAAAGCAGGCCATGCCTCTTATGCCTTCTCTTTCCACTCAGCCTACAGAAATGTGGACAAGTTTCCTCCTCCCTGTTTGTTTCTTTCTCCCCCAAGGAAGCCCTCAGGGCCTGGGCTTCCCACCCTGGAGGTCCCCAGGGAGGTCTCCCGCTACCCCTCCTGTGACTGGGTGGGGAAGCCAGTTCAATTTAGAGCAGAAGGGATAAGAAGACTTACCACTCTCCCTTGCTCTTGAGGTCCAAGCTACGGGATGACTATGACCCTCCCCTGGCATCTGAAACCTATTTTCACTTGGTCCAGAATTCTCAAATCAGAGAGGTGTGACTGGCAGCAACAGCGGTCCTCAGACCTTTTTTCTAAGTGTCACCCTCTTCAATCAGCACAGTCCCCTCTCTCCAAACCTTCAGTGCTGCTCTTCTGATTCTCCGAGCGACTTGCCAATGTCACAGATGCTGTCCCCACAGCAGGGCCAGCACAGAGCTCGTGGGCTCGGAGGCTCTGGCCTGGGAAGTCTCAGACCCCACAGCAACACCTCCACGTCTCCCCAGTCACCTCCCTGCAGAGCTCAGCAGCACTACACGAAAATACTTTTATCTGACTATAGATAGATGCTTCGGTGACGTAGAAAGTGACCAGGGGGAAAATATCCATGGAAATTAGGGAATTTTCTAAAGGAGGGCTTCCAGGGTCCTCTAGGTACAAAAGTAATTTGTCCATTTTTTTATTACGACACAGTCCACATTTAATTACATTTATTTGTGTACAAGTGTGTTTGATTTCTCATGAACTCCTCGAAGGAAAGGAATCATTTTTCCATTCATCCCTGATGTTTTGTTGTGTTATAGCATGTCCCTTACAATACAAGTGATAATCAGTCAATGCACCAAATACAGAAGAAAAGGGGGCAACATGATTAAAATGAGATAATCTTTTCACCGGAAAATAAAAATAAGCTTTACCCTTCCTTTACTGAATAGTCGTATCCTTCCTACACTTAAAATTAATTTCAGCGATAAACTGGGAAATAGCTTAGAGTCTTCACCAATCGGTTTTATTGGCATGAGTTCTTGGATGAAAATAAAAATGTCCCGATGAAAAGCCTCAGTGTTCATTTTTATATTCACTATCCAGTAAAATTTTAATTATTCCTACATACGTTCTAGAAAAACCACACAAGACACTCCAAAACAATGATTCTTTCCTCTGCAGAAGTAGACATGGAACAGCCTTTATTATCCCACAACATGGGGTCAGAGAGTGAAAAACTTCCTAGAACTCTCTACCCTTCAAAGACATTCTCAAAGCCACTGGGCTGCAGTGAAGGACGTCCTTGGCTGAGAGAGCCGGGCCCTCGGTTTCCTTAGGCTCCTGTGCTCAGCGTTGTGTGCAGAGGGTGTTCAGTACTGCTGCTCCCAGGGCACCCACAGGGCTGCAATGAGTGGGTGGGAGGGGCGTCAGGAGGAGGGGAGTGGTAATGGCAGCTCCCCTTCAGCAAGCCCCACAATAGGCTGGGAACATTAAACAAGGTGTTTCCAACTGTCATAAGGCACAGAGTACAAAAACAAGGCCATGCGGGTTATATACTGTGCCTGTAGTCACACGCAAAGACTGATCTGGAACACAGGATGAGCCCAGGGGATCCCAAGGCCCCTGTTATTTCCTCTCCTGCACACTGGTTCTGCTAAGATGTAGCTAGAGAAACTGTGCACCATGCTGGGCTGAAAGGGGAAAATGAGAGAAACAGACTTTCAAGTCTGCAGGCATTCACCCAAGATCCCGAAGCAGCACTCCTGTGTTAAGTACCAAAGGTCTTCCTCAGTCGTCAGCACACAAGGGAAGCCTCCGTTTCTACCCAGAAGAAAGCTGAGGCATGAAGAGGAGGCAGATGGACCTGCCGCAAAGTCGGCTCTGAAATTCCTTCCCCGCTGTCTGCTGCAGGACGTCTACCCAGCATCTAACCGGATAAATCAACGTTTCACAATCGTGGAAACAAATTTATTTTTAATTCTAGCAGAGATGGCTTTATTAGTCACTTCCTCAAAGGAGAGGACCACACAGATGGATGGAAACGACAAAGGCTCACTTTCTTGCTCTAATTCATGCCACATTTGGTCTGTTTCTGTTCTCCTTTTTGGATTTCCCAACCGTGTGTAAAACATACGCTGGTGCTACCTACCAGAGAATTCACAGTAAAGGGCTGGTCCATGGTGTCCTGTCTACAAAATGAGCGTGTTCACTGGTTCTTCTCAGTCACTTCATCTGTTTCAAAAATAGAAAAGCAGTGCTCGGATTATTATTTTTTTTTAAGAACTCCAGTCTCAAGTCTTAAACTGCAGGGTTCTGTCTGCCCCAGAAGAAAATGAACAAATTGAAATAGCTTTAATAATTTCGGTTTTTTTAGAGAGACTGTTGAAAACAACTTCCTGAAAATACAAAACTGCAGGTGGTTATGGTTTCTTAAAAGTGGAGGTGTGAAGCATGTATGCATGACCAATAGACACAGACAACAAAGCTGGGGATGGGGTGGGGGGGATGGGAAGGAGGGTGTCAATGCGGGAAAAAGGAGCAATATCTGTAACAAAAACAAATTAATAAAAAAATAAATTTAAAAAAAAGTGGAGGTGTGAAGAGAATTAATTATTGCCTTGCACCCAGAATGAGTCTGCCGGGTGTTATCTTATTTAGATATGCACGGTTAGTAAGTGGGTTTACTTTCTTCAAAGTAAAGATCGTAGTAGTTAAGAGCATGGACTCAGGGGCCATGGACTCTAAGACCTGGAGTCAGTCTGGGCTTAAATTAAGCCCTACCAGCTATAGAAGGTAGAATTCTACGATGACTCTGTGATTCCTGCCCTTGGCATCCACAGGTTTGTGTCCTCCCCTCCCCTTGAGTGTAGACAAGACCTGTAACTGGCATCCAATCAACAGAACGTAACAAAGTTGATGAGATACCACTCTCATGTTCACAGACGGCATATGGCAAAGAGATTTTGCAGATGTCTTAAGGCCCTAATCACTGGACATGACATTACCAAAAGGGAGATTATCCTGGGTAGGCCAGACATGACCAGGTGAGACCTTTCAAAGAGGGAGACACTCTCCTGCTGGCCTTGAAGACTCAGCCACTGTGAGTTCCACAGCTGCAGTGAAATGAATTCTGCCTGTAACCTGTGAGCTTTGAAAAGGGCCCCGAGCCCCAGATGAAACCCTTACCCTGGTCTACACCTCCACTGCTGCCTTGTGAGACCCCAAGCAGAGGACCTAGCTTTGCCTAGGCTCCTGACCCACAAAACTGAGAGATCATAAAGGTATTGTCTTAAGCCATGAAGCTGGTGGTGATTGGTAAAGCAGCAATAGAAAACAAATATGCTAATTGTGTGACTGCAGTAAGTTATCCAGCCTTTCTGTTCATCAGAAAAACGGTGCAAATAATAGCACCTATGTCATGTAGTTGTGATCAGGATTAAATGAATTAGCATATTAAGTGCTTAGAATAGTTCTTAGCACACAGTCAATATTATATCAAAATGTTAGCTATTACTAGAATCTTTATTTTGCAACTGAAGAAACTGAATCTCAGAGATGTTAAGTGAATGCACCCAAGTTCAGATAGTCACTCAAATGTCAGTCTCCCTCTTCCCTTTTTTTTTTTTTCTCTATTGATTCCAGAGAGAGAGGAAGGGAGAAGGAGAGAGATAGAAACATCAATGAGAGAGAACACTGATTGGCCGCCTCCTGCATGCCCCCACTAGGGATTGGTCTCACAACCTGGGCATGTGTCCTGACCAGGAATCTATCGGGCGACCTCTTGGCGCATGGGTCGATGCTCAACCACTGAGCCGCACCGGCCGTGCAGTCTCCCTCTTCTTTATACTACTTTAGGTCAAGCTTTGCATCACCGCTTCCCACTTCTTCTAAAATTATTTTGGCCTCCATACTCCATTGTGCAATCACTTGTGCAATGATGGACACATCTCCTCCTCAGTACCTCATTTATGAAATGAGGGGGTTAAGCTACATTCTTTCAAGTTATAACACTCTGAGATTCTAGAAATCTCAGAAGTAGACCATTCAACCCATCCGTGTTATTTTTGGCCTGAATCCATGGCTGAAAAACCCTTCAAGGAAAGCCACCTGGCATGTTCTAGTGTTTCCGCTTCATCCTCTCCAGTGATCCCTGGAGATCTAAGCTTGCAGGTTGCAGAAATGCACGAGAAAAAAAATGACCTGGAGAGAGCCACAGTCAGAGTGCAGTTTAAAACCCCAATTAATTCTGGCACTACTGAATGTAGGCAATCCCAATTGGGAAATTACCACTTCTCGGTGAGAAGCAATGAACCAGAAAAAAGAGAGAGAGAGAGATTACAAAAGTTAAAGAGACAGAACAAAGAGGCTTATGGGGAATCTGGAGCTGGGAAGAGAAAGGACCAACAGAATAGTAGTCACCGATTGGTGTCTTGCAAAACCTTCTGGGGTTACTCAGATCTTGAAACAAAAAACAAATCATTTAAAAAGTTGGAAACATTAAAACCAGTGGTTCTTAAATTTTACAGTATCTAAAAATTACATAAACCTGGGACTTTTAAAAAATGCAGACCCCTGGAACTCTGCCACAGGGCTTCTGAATCCATCAGTTTTAAGTCCATCAGTTTTAAGAGGCACCGGGTGTGAGGATGTGGCCGGGCGATTCTGATACATGAGGTTTCCAAACAACCCTTCGAGGGACACTGCGTTTGAGAATGCAGGAAGCAGGGTTCTTCCTCGCAAGCAAATGCGCGGACTCCTGAATTCAGAGGAAAATGGGAAGATCACAAATTTCCAGGAAGACTATGAACTGTAATTGAAAAATAAAAAAATCATTGAGAAAAAAATGTTTTTTCCAGAAAGGCCAGAGAAATGGGGCTCGGAGGCTACATATTCAGGAAAATCACCCCAAATCACACAGCAGCACCCGTCGGACGGGTTGGGGAGCCTGCAGCTTCCACCAACAACACCCACTGCTGCCGGGAAAACACGTGGAGCTGCCTCCAGCTCTTCAGGTTGCTGGTTTCTATTCCGGGGTATGGATGGAGGTGTCTGACTGGCAGAGCCTGTCACATGCCTGCGGCCTGGCTGCAAAGGTGGCTGAAATGCAAACATACAGCTCTTCACACTTTCCTAGAAGGCAGTGGGATGGGCCAAGTGAGAAAAGACAGATTCCGGGCTGGAAAATCAAACACACTTCTCTGTAATGACCTTCTAGATGTATGCAATGTTTAATCCAATACATCGTAAACACCAGAGTTTACTGAACTGCTATAAATGGAAACCAACCACTATTAACTCCCACATATAAATTTATTTATAACTCAGAAACAGAAAGAAACCAACTCCCCTCAAATATAAGATGAAAGAAGTTTATGGATTGGTTGGTCAACTTTTATTGATTGATTGATTGATTTTTACCATTAACTATTCCATGGCACTGGTCCTGCCTTAATTCTTTTATTTTTTAATCCCTAGTCCCAACACTTATCAGTTGCAGTTGTAGTAAATTACAATGACCAAAATCAACACAAACAGGTTATATTCTCTTGATCAGTAGCTGTCAAAGTGTAGGGAAGGTCCCCACGATCCTATTAAAGGGTATGTAAGGTCAATATTATTTTCATAATATTACTGAAACATTTGCTTTTTTACCATCAGCCTCTCACAATTGTGGAGATTTGCAGAGGTCCAAGTTCATGCAATGCGTATTTGAATATGCCTATAAATGTCTGCTTTAGTGTTTAACATGGTAAATACAAATAGGTATAGCCCACATAAACAAAGCTTTTTAGGGTCCTTAGTAATTTTAAGAGTGCAAAGGGGTCCCAAGACCAAAACTGCTGCTCTAGATCAACAAGGCACACAAACCCACAACGCAGAACAAAACAGTGTGCTATTGCAATCTGACCAGAAGCACAGTGGTGCAGAAGAATGGGAAAGAGGAAAATGAATGTCAAGTGTCACCTTCCATTTGTGCTACCAGGGCCTGCTAGAATTATCAGAAAACAGAGGGCACAGCAGGAGATGCCCTGCCTTGTACAACCTGAGGCCCACAGGAGTGAATGCAGCCAGCAGAACACCGCATATCCTGCAAAACCCATTCTCTTTTTCTAATATAAAAATATAATGTTTAGCTGATACAGAGCCACTCATATAACCTACACTTTCCAGCATTTCTGGGAGTTAGGTGTGGCCACGTCACCACACTCTGGCCAATGGGTGTAAACAGAAGTACTGCAAGCGAAGTCTGGATCGTACCCTTGAAGGGAAGGGACCCGGCCTCTGCCACCCACCCTTGCCCCTCCTGCCTGCTGCAATGCTGCCACACAGGTGAGCCACCTTCAGTCATCAGGAGGAGCCACAGCAAAGCAAGAAGGGAAGAGGAGCGGTCTAGTTTACTTACTCTCAGATCATTATGACAGAGACACCTTGTGTCATACGTCAAATTTGTCACATGACAAATTTCCACCTTGTCTAATACTTTGGTTAGGCAGCTGGGTCTGCATCCTGACAAACGCAATAAGTTTAACCCAGGAAGGATGATTCAGGGTAGCCCAGAGAGACTATCACCACTACCGACAATGAAATACACATCTTCCATCGTCCCACCTACCTCAGCAGTCTGCCTGTCCCGCCTCCCTGCACACCTTGGGCCCAGGTACAGGGAGAAGAGAACTACCCGCATTTCCTCCTTTCCTCCCACAGTGCACCTGAACACTGCCCAGACACAGAGATATTATCAGCTACACCCCAAAAGGCGGCATTTGGTTGTCATAAATGTTTAATCTGGCTGTTAAGTAAATTTAAAAATTTGAAGTTAATTATCAAAATTTAAAAATTGGGAGATTGATATAAAAATGCAGATTTCAGTTTCTCTTAAAAAAAATATCAGAGAATCTGGCCCTACTGGGCCCAGTCTCTGTAACATTTAATTGTTATTATTTATCTTCTATTCTGCAGTTAGAACAATGCCTCCTACTTAATAAGGGCTCAACATGTATTTGTTAAATTAATGAATGAAGAAGCCATTTTCTTAGTCTATATATAATATACTTCCCATCACAATCCCAGGCATATAATAGAAATTTTGTAGATATTTTGCTCTAGATCTGTGCTAAACTATGCACCAGTCTTTAAAAACTTACAGGTAGCTCACTTAATTTTCTCAATACGGGTTTATTCATTAATTCAATCATATATTCATTCAACAAACATCAGTTGAACCTAGGATG